CTCAGAGTTTCCCTTAGGAGGTAGATTTTTATTAATATTTATTCAATAATCAGACATTTATTGAACACCTGCTTAATTTGCCAAATTCTTAGCTGAGTGCTATTCCTAGATGTCAGGGAAGGAGGGAAGAAGAGAGAGAGAAAGAGAGAGAGAGAGCACACAGCGTATGCGTGCAGGCAAGCAAGCATGTTTTCCTTTTACATAATGTTGTTCTAGTCTGCACTTCTCCTGGCTTTTCTTCTGAAGCCAATGTTCATATTTTTTGTGATGGGGGTCTTCATTATATGCATTTGTCAACATGGAGAGCAACGTATTAATTTTCTTAGTCCGCCGTGCTTGTATTGCTCAGGGTTGATACAATTTGTAGTTGCTTAAATAATTGTTTTATGGCAAAGTCTGTTGATTTTGTGGTTGGTATTGTCTGTTTGTTTTGCTGGTCATGAATTACTCGTTTTCTTCTGAAATGCCTAATTAGAAGTTTAAGGAGAAAAATCATTCTTTCTAGTAATCCACTAAATCTGGCTAATTGGAAAAGGATGGGCAATATAAAATTGGATTATATGGGTTTAAGAGTCAACAGTATATTTTTACCCTAAAAGCAATACATGAATTCTTTTATTTGCTTATTCTTTATTTTACCCAGTGATTATTGTCTCAGCAATTGTTATTAATTGGATCATAGTTTAAATTTCAATTCTCCGTTGAAATCTTACTGCTAAAAGCCTATGACAAGTACTTTTGTAAATGTAAGACTTTTTGGTATGAAAATAATCAACACTAATAAATAATTTATTGGGGATTTTCAAAATAATTGGGCATATTGCATCCTGAGTTTAGCTTATATTTAAGCCATTTGTTTTCTTTTTGCCATTTCTGATTGTACCATAGGGCTCAATGTCATTGATGCTTCATTATTTTCTAACAAGATGATATTTGGAAACATGCAATCTTTTGGGAAAAAAGTTATTTTTTTTTTAATCAGAAAAGTGGTTGCTGGTTTTTCCCTTAGGTGGTAATCACTTTTTGAGACTCACTCTGAGCAGCCTTTTCACTCCCACATGCTTAGATACGGTTTCAGAAGTGCTCTCCAATGAGGCTCCATTAAGAACTGGCCTATTTGAATGAACTGTTGTAATGGGTGCCTTGTAAATGCTTGATTTGGACAGGTGACAGCCCCAAATCATAACCTATCCTTATTAAACCATATGGAGAAGATAGAAGCACTTACTCTGATGCCTCCGGCTACATATTAAGAGGGTCTTTTGACAGTGTCTGATAGGAGTGGAATGCAAGCTGCCATATGGGCAACTAAGGAAGGAGCATACATTTACATAGACAAGTGTAGTATAGTGTATATTTCTGTAGCTTGTCTTTTGAAACCAAATATTCTCTTTCCTTTCTTTCCCTCTTTGTGTATTTCCCTTTACTTCTCCTCTCTTTTCTCCCCTACTCCCTCTCTCCCTCTCCCCTCCATCATTTTCTCTTTGTCTGTCACCCCCATTTCTCCCCCACCCCCTCCTTCCCATTTCTCTCTAGTTACCAAAGAAATAATACTGCCAGTTTTCTAAAACTTTCAAATGTGGATTTATAGTTTGACTTTTTTTTTTTTCAAATAAAGAACTCTGCTGAATTCTAAGCAAACTTTTGGCTAGAATTTTGTAGTTCATAGGAAATATAGGTAACCTTTAAATTCTGCAGGATATAATCATTTGCTATCAAGAGTCATAACAGACCAGAGAAAATCCTTTATTTGCCACATTCATTAAAATAAGAAACAGAAAATGACCAACTTTTATATTGATTAGAATTTTTTGCAGTCTGATCATGTACATATGGGTTAAAAATAGAACTTGTCATAGCAGTATTATTTAATGCCATATTTTATACAAAGTATGTGGGGTATACATAGGCCTCAATAGGTTTTATAGGTGTCATTTAATACAAGCTCCTGAATAATAATGTAGTAATCTTAGTATTCAGGTATTCGTTTATCCAACAAACACTTGATTACTTGCTCTGAGCCAGGGACTTTTCTGGAACTAAGAATACAGACATAGTTTCTGTCTTGGGAACCTTATATCCTTGTAAGCAGCGAGAAATATGTCAGCAAGTATGAAGACCACTTTTATAATAGGAACCACGGTGGAAACCTGCCCAGGGTAGAGAGTAAACAACAGAAGCCAGTAATTGGGCAAGAGGACAGCAGAATGAAGCGTTTCTAGAAAGGATTTGCGGAGCAAGTGTATATTGAATCATGACCATACAGGAAAGGAAAGGTGAGGCAACAGAAATGAGCACGAGAAGTAACTTGAAGACAGACCTTGGAAAGTTTTCATACCATGCTCATGCTTTTGAAGCTTATCATAATGAGCCACTAAAGAATTATAATCTTAAGAGGACATTCTTAGTTTTATGTTTCAGCAAGCCCCTCTGCTGATGATTGTGAGAAGATGGATTGGCAAAGGAAAACTTAGGATCCTAAAATTAGGTGATTATTGCATTAATCTAGACAGGAGATGAGAAGGCCGGATTGGTGCAACTGCAGTGGTGATGAAGAGAGCACAATAAGATATTAAGGGTATCTTAATATCTTATTAAGGTCTTGTTAACACAGGTCTTGATGACTAATTGGATGTCAGAGGGAGGAATGGTAGTTTTATATACCACAGAAGTTAACATGGAATTTTTATATCAAATTCTGGTTCCACTAATGACTAAATCATCTTAAACAAGTATCCTAAACTCTCTATGCCTCAGTTACCTTATTGATAAGTTAAAAAAAAAAAAAAAACTAGTTCCTCCTTCAGAGAGTTTTTGTGATTATTAAATGAGATAAGGCCCATATAGGACTTCACATAGTGCTTGGTACCCCAAAAATGCTAGGGGTGAGGAGGAGGAAGGAGAGAATGAGAGTTCCCAAGTAGAGACCCAATACATTAAAATATCAGTATATTTTTTAATTTGCCTACTACAGTGAATGAGATGGTTTGAGTGAGAATATTTTATCCTTAAAGTTTAGCATGCTTATTTAGATGGCATTTGGTAAAAGTAACTGAATTATTGAAGCTATAGTACCTTCTAGCTCGATGATTAAATATCTAGGAATAAATAAAGCTTCTTTCAGTGTGCTAATGAAAACATCATTAAGATAATATTAGTCTCCTAAATAAGATACCAATCATTAAATATGATTATCGTTTGCAATTTAATGGGAAATCTTTCCGCATATACCTGAGCTGGGAAAAGATTATTTAACCACAAAAAATACTAACCCGTATCAATTAGAGGTGGAAAAAAATCTGTTGTATTTCCTTCTGTGTTTAGAATTACTTCCCACACTAATTTATGTGTCTGTAGTTGTCCAGCCTCTGACAAGTTTGAGAAACACGTAAAGTAATGTTTGCAGGGAGTCTTCATATACATTCCACAGTGATAAATATCATATACTTTGCCCAAGATCTAAAACACTATTAGGCTTTTGGGAAGAAGATAATGTGGGAAGTTGTCATACTGAGTATTTTATAAGACACTGCTACTGGAGTTCCTAGTAATTAGATTTAGTAACTGTAAGCAAATGTAACTATTACTGACTTTTCCCCAACTTCTATCTTTTCACCCTAGTCAAAGTCACTATCATCCTTTACCTAGTCCACTGCAGTGAAGAACTGAGTACTAACCTTTTTCTCTGTTTTTAGCCCTGGCTACCTACTCCATTTTCTGCACAGCAGCCAGAGAGATCATATCATGTCACTCCTCTGCATAATCATAAGCATCATAAAGCTTCCCATCACACCCACTAAGAGCATCACTCTTTGCTCAGTCCTAGGATCTAGACCCCCTCCCACCCCCCGCCATGGGCTACCCATCCCTCAGCCTATTGCAGTTACTCTGGCCTTTCAACTTACTGCAAAGACACAAGCTTATTCTTCCCCAAAACTTGTTTTCTAGCTGTTCCCCCTACCTGAAAATCTCCACTTTAAGTCTTCCATGGAAGGTTCTTCTGTCACTTAGATTCAACAAAAATATCATGTCTTGGAAATACCTTTCCTGACCACAGAATATATTTTTAAATCAGCACATTTTCACTTTGAGGGCCACAGTGGGACTTAGGACATGTTCTTTGAGAAATATTTATAATCTATAGTACTGGCATCTAAAATAAATTATTAAATATTACTTAGCATTACTGTTTTCCTATAGATTCTCTGTTTTTTCATGGTGCAACTTAGGCACATACTCACCTATATTTTTAATAAAATTGCATTATCTGCATAGAAAACATTCATCTCCTGAAAAAGGTGAGTGTACCTTGCCCAGCAGTCTTGTAGCACAGATTCTAAGACTTCTGTGACTATTTTAGATAGAATGTTCCATACTACCATTTATTAAAGACAAATCGAAAACTGAAAAATCCATGTGATGTGCTGTTTTTAAATATAGATATGAAAAATTGAATGACTAAAAAGAAAGTCCACAAATAACTATAATGTTCATGAGTCGAAATAGATATTCCCAAACACCCAGACACACTCCTAGTGAATTAAACAAGAATAGCTCTCACAAGTAAACAAGCTTACTTAGAATTGAGTAGGGTTAGCTCCTCTGTGATACATAGCATAGCACAGAGATTGTAACTCTGCTTAATTGCTGCATTTACATGTGTCAGGACCATCAGGGGTGATGGCAGCTCCCTTGAATTTCCAGCGAGTGGTCATGTGCCTATGTGTTAAACCTCTTAGAAAATAAAAACATACCACCTGCCAGGAGAATTGTAGAGAGATATAATCTACTTGTGTTTTGACAGCCATATATAGAAGGCTAATTACACTTTTTGATCAATTTCCATGATACGATATTCAGTGTGGGGGATAGGATCTACTCTCATCTGCATTTTATTAGTTCTGTGTCACACTCTCTCAGGAGAAGGTTTTTTTGCCCATATTTTCCAAATGTCTGATATTATCCCTCTGACAAACACTGTTTCTGCTTGGCTATTTCAGCACTTTTGTGTAATGGAAAATTTCACAAACACTTGCAAGAAATCTTTGTACCCTTGGTTGTCCGCTACGTGGATCTCATGGAGTCTTCCATCGCCCAGTCAATTCACAGAGGTTTTGAGCAGGAGACGTGGCAGCCTGTCAAGTAGGTATATTACCCAGTGCCCCTAGAGCACCTGCCTCTTCAACCCTGACCTTCTGACTTTACACATGGCCATCTGTAGTTATTGCTTATGGTGGTCCCTTCCCACGTTGTTTGTTTCTTTACAGGAATATCGCCAACAGTCTTCCCAATGTAGCTCTTCCAAAAGTTCCAAGTCTGCCTCTTAATCTTCCACAGATTCCTAACATTTCTACTCCTTCGTGGATGCCTTCTTTATATGAGTCCACGTGTGTATCCCTCACTTATTTCCTGGTGGTGTGTTAGCTGGTGCATGGCCTGGGCTGTGTTCTGCGCAGATGTGTTTAGATTGCATGGCATTTATCATCGTTGGTTGAGGAATACTGCTTTTGGTTTTGTTTGAGTGTTTTAAGCTAGAAGCTAAGCTTAGCATATCTATAATGAATGATGTCAGTTAAAAAGAAAAAACACACTAGTTTAATGTAGTTCATATGTAATCTGTGGTACAGGAATCATTTGGTGACCCAGGTTATACATTCTACCCTAAGTAAAATAACCAGAGTTCTCCTTATATAGACAAAGCATTTCGAGGATTCTTAGCTCCAGCTTTATTACTGCCCACATGACTTATCTTATACAAGTTGAAAACCTTTGGAAGAATGGTTTCATAAGAATATAATCTTTTTTCTATTTCCTAGTCTCAACTTTTAAAAAACAGTACTGCATCATGCAAGGAAGGGGTTGTCCTTTCATTACCAAAACCAGAAAAAGTTCCTCTTGTTCCTTTAATATAGAGTCGGTACATCTTGCTATTTTTAAATAGTCTTTATATTATCCAAAACCATGTTTATTAACTTCACATTATGGTGACCTTGACTGTTGCAGAATCAGAAACTAAGAATCACTAAAGTGAACAAGGATGGGCTTTTAAATTGATCAGGTCTGAATTTAGATCTTAGCTTATTAATTGTAAACCTTTCTTAGCCTCAGTTTTTTCCTCAAGTCTAAAACAGCTATGACACTTAATTGAAAGATGTTTTTGTGATGATTTTTTGAAAAGAAAATTGTATTGAGGCACATTCTAGGCTTTTAATAAATGATTAGTACTGTTGGCATATCCTAGGCACCCAATAAATGATAACTGCTGCTACTCTACATTGTTGTTTTTGTTATTATTACTATCATCAGGCATCATTATTTATAATGGTATACTTCTTAAAACTATGAGCCTCACAGTGATCAGAACTAAGTAATAGTTCCAGTTTACAAATGGGAAGACTCAGGCAATTACATGCTTTGCCCAAGATCTCATATGAAATGAACTAGAAAGAATAATTATTAGAGGAAGAAAAATAGATTTCATTTATTGAGAATTTACTATGTTTCCAATATAGTGCCACGTTCTTATCTCATTTAATCTTTATAATAACCTTGCATCATTATCCCCATTTTACAGTTAAGGAAATTAAGTCACAAAGAAATTAAAAAACAAAATTTGCTGATATCTCACAGCAAGTAAGTGACAGAGGCAAAATTTGAACCCAGGTTTGTTTGACTACAAAGTCCTCACTCCTGTCATTAATTTGTTCTGCTCCCTTAGAACCTTGTGTTTAAGAACTTGCTACCTTTCCACCTATCCTACCACCAACTGGAAATCCACACCTAGTCAGGTATGCACACAATCAAGAAAAGAAAGAGGAAAAGACCAAGAAAGAGAATAACTTGCAAGTGATTTGGCAATATTTCTCCAAGTTAAACATCATCACTGTATTCATAATACTCACTAGGATATTATGTTACATGTGAATTTTTTTTTTCTTACAGAAATGTGCTTTGGGCCAATAGAGTGTGTAAAGTGTTGTCTGTGAGTGCTCAGGAAATTACATACAAAGTATAATGAACCTTTCTAAGTATATGATTTTTTTGTACTTTTTTACACTGTCTATAATTTAACTCCTCTTCTTCCTAATTTCTCATCTATTTAACACTCAATTTTAGCCCAGAACACTGTCGTCATGGGCATTATTTTGTGAAATTTAGCTTTTTGTTAGTACTCTTTTTATTAACTGTGGGATTTCTATGATCTCTGAATCCCTCATTGAGGACACTTTTTTAAAGTATGTTAATCTCAGGACAAGAATAATGACAACTTTGAGCTTTGTAAGTAAAATGATTGTGCTTTCACCATTCTGTGGAAAGTTAAAAATGCATTTTACAAGTTGATCACTATTATCTTTACCTACCAAGGTTATTAACATTAATTCTTCCTCAGAGTGTCCAAAGTTACTCATAATGTTATGATGTTATTGCCATTTTTTTGAAGTTTAAAACATTAATAACAAGAAAGATTTATATTTAACATAAAGAATTAAAGATACAACTGCTGATTAAATAAGAATATCAAAGTAACTATGATTTTGAAGATACATCCCTGCCTACTAATGCATAAATCATGCAAGGATTGCTTATCCACATATCTATCTGTATATAAAATCTTTCCTCATTTTTTTTTTCTCTAGAAATGAATGCCAGTAAGGTAAGTTTTCTACTGGCATTTTTAGGAAATTATCTCAGAGTCCATTATTCACATTCAGATTCTTTAATCTGTTAATAATACCTTTAGGAATAGGTCACCGATTAGAAATAATTTTAAAATGAAAAAGCTCTGAATAAATTGCAGGTTATATGTACCAACTCCAAAGAAAGCCTACTCACATTTTTTTCATATATCTCTCTAATTATAACAAATACTTTTTATCTTAATTACATTCCAAATTAAACACATTTATTGTCAAGAATCAAACAAAAGAAAAATGTATCCATATTCTCTATGAAGATTGTTATATATTATTAGATCTATTTTTAGTAGAATTCTGCCTTTACCATCAAGAGATTTTGTTTTATTATGTTGTTTCTTGTCATTGTGTTGTTAAAGAACATATACATTTCAGATAGTTACATTTCTCCAAAGTAAAAAGATTATAAGAAGCAGATTTGCTTCTTTGCCAATTGTATTGTTATTTTTAAAACTTAATCTACCAAACTGCACACTGTGGATATGAAGGGAGATTTTATTTGGTCTTTTTTTCTCTTATTTTTATGATATATATGGCAAAAGAAGAAATAAAAGTAGTGTTTTTTAAACACTTTCACTGTAGTATCAGCATGGTGTTTCGTTCTCTCATTTAATGGTGCATTAGAGGCACTGAATATTAAGGTGAAGAGATTTAAGTGAGTAAAGTGCTATGGGAAGTGTTCACTGCTTTGCTGTGATTGATCCCTAGAGAACTTAACTCTGAGGGCATTTTGGCTAGACAAGGAGATCAGGAGGAATTACTGGCAGAATGGGAATAGAAAAGCAATGTAGATTGGTGATAGAGCTTTGACGCTGAGGCCAGGGTGGAGGGTAGAAATAAGCTTTTAATTAGCCAGAGCAAGAGGTGACTTTGTTTCAAAGCTAGCTCATTAAGATATATTTAGCTAAACAATGTGGTGCCTTAAACAATTTATTTTTTTTAGTTTTTAAGTTCTGGGATACATGCACATAATGTGCAGTTTTATTACATAGGTATTTTCCACTGTGATTTTGTGATAAATAAGTTTATTTTTTAAATTTTCTTTTGTAAACTAAAAATATAAATTTTAAGTTAGTGTATGTGGAGCAATTGTTGGAAAGCTGAGAACAAATGAATCCTACAGTAGCTTTTTTTTTTTTGCTTTTGCTTTTATGCTCTTTTATACTTAAATTTCAATATGTTTTAATGTAAGAAGATTTTACTTTCAAAACATTTGTTTCTGTATTAGCCTATGTACTTGCATAATGGAAAGTAATAGCATGACCCTTTGCCAAAATATTATATGTACTCTTCTGTAAGTTATCTTCATACATGGGGTGATGGCACAGTCCTCGAGTAATTTTACCATAGTAGTGAATGCTTAGCGAATCTTGGCTCCACAATTAGATATAAGGACCTGAAATAATTATTATTCTACAACTTCAGAGCACCCTGAGTGTCATTTCTCTGTCAGACAATACCTTGGGTTTTAATAAGCCAGAAAAGGCAAAAAATGAAAATAAAAGTTTGCTTCCCTACCTATCCCATTTTATTTCTGGTACCTTTCTTACCTTTACCTGTAGCTGAGAAATTCAAGGACCGTATATTCTATACACATGTAAGTAGACAGAAACCACCATGGTGACAGAGGCACATATGCATGAATAACAGCAAAGCTACTGGTTGCAAATATAAGAACTTTCTTGCATAAAATGTAATTTTGAAGGCTTGCAAGAATGTTTATCCTAGAGATTGGTAAAGAACACTTACAATATCTGTTCTTATGTATATAATATAATTTCCTTAGTAAAGTATATGTATCCATTTTACCTCGTTGTGTGAAACCCTACCACCATATTTATTTCTGTTTTGTTCTCCTTGCCCTGCCTTGTTAAGAATGATAAAGGAAGAATTAGAAGGTTGAACAAAGAAAATATTGGATCATTAGAGATTTTATATGGTTTTTTTTCACTGATAGCAATTGATACAGAAAAGGAAAAACAATGTATTAATGGTATACATCATTAACAGGGGAAATTCATGATGTTCATTTTTTTCTTTTTCTTCTAGCAATGGCTCAGCAACATCAGAAGACCTTTTTTGGAAACTTGATGCACTGCAGATGTTTGTCTTTGATCTACACTGGCCAGAACAGGAATTTGCCCACCACTTAGAGCAAAGACTTAAACTAATGGCCAGTGACATGCTAGAGGCCTGTGTCAAAAGGTAGACATGTATTTTCAAATTGCTGCTTAATGTGCCAGCACCCAAAATATCACTTCTTATCAAGTACCTAGTATATCATTGTCACAGCAAAGGTTTCACTATGCATTACTGTTCCAACATTTAATGAGCATTAGGTTATCTTGACCAAATTCTGGGGACCCATATAATTGATGAAAATGGCTGGATACTTTTTTCCAAGTCTCCCAACTATTGCCTTAATCGGTAACATCTATACCATATTAATGATTTCTTTAGGGCTTACTGTTACCTCTCTGGGAATACTGTGCTTTAAATTCCCAAAGCAATATTTCCTGAGTCATATGAAAAAGGTCTGTTATGTTCTGTATGCACTATGTACTCTGTCTGTGTACTGTGAAATGGCATAGTAAGCTCAAAATAGCAACAGCACCATCAGTTGTTCTGGGATTATTAACCATATTCTGGTATTTTCTGTCTACAACAGATGAGTTCCAACTATCGGCTTAGATTCTTTAGAACTTAACTGGAAATAAGTTATGAGGTTTTGTATTCTTCCAAATGTGCTTTCATTTTATAATAGTTTTACAAAATCAGCATTGCATCCTAATTGGTCAAGCGTTATTTTTTCATTATCCTTGTTCATTATATGTACAAGGACAACATGTAGCCACATATTAGAAAAGCATTCAAACACTGGTTAGACCAATTGGATATTTCCGAAATCTTTCAACCAAGAAAAATTCTGTCTTTAGAATAATATTCAGTAGCCCCTTAAGGCAAGACCATGGATTAGGTAGATTAATGTTTTTTAAAAATCATCATTGATTTTGATGTCTCAAATCTGTGGATGTTCATAGGATAATTTTGCAAAACCAACTCCAAATTGCCCATAATGCAGTTTCTTTCAAAAACCTGTCTGCAATTTTAGGTTTTTGAAGGATAATGTAAGTGACATAAAAGAATTACACATTGTTGTACATTGATTACCAGGTTTTAGAGTTTTCTAGACTTGTGCTTATTTTTTCTAATTTGGTAAGCCTTTATACAGAAAATATATTCTGCTTAAATGCATAGAGTTGTGTGATTTTTCTACTTGGAAATTAATTCAGACAGCTAAGTGAAATTATGAGTTTTTTCTATTAAATGTGGTGATCTGGATACAACAAAAAGCTTCTTTTGGGTGATGATACTGTTTGAGTGACTGCATGAAGCTAGGCTTAATATTAAAATATCACAATCTGATCTTTCACTGAGACCTGAAAAGAAAAGCCTCCCCCGACCAGCTCCCAAGCACTGCCACACTGCTTACTCATTTGCATGTTTTAAATTAGCATCTTGTAGTGTTGATTTCACTTTTTACAAAACAGGTAAGGTGTATAGCAGAATTTCTTACTCCGAATTCATGTTTTTAAAACTAGAACAAGAACCGCATTTGAACTCAAGCTACAAAAGGCAAGCAAAACAACTGACTTGCGCATTCCAGCTTCCGTTTGCACAATGTTTAATGTGTTAGTCGATGCCAAAAAGCAAAGCACCAAGCTCTGTGCCCTGGATGGAGGACAAGAGGTATGTAGGATGGGCCACGTGGGAAAAGGCAGCACAGGGTGCCTTGGCAGGGGATATGCTCTTTCCATAAGGCATTCTCTTGATTGGATTGAAAAGACCCAAGTTCTCCAGCACCAAATGTTTGATCTTTTCTTTACTGGAATAATAGCATGCCCTTTATCCTTTGCTCATATCAGTTTCTCCTTTTTGATATAAATACAGTCCAAAATTTTATAAGTGACCATGAATTTTAGATACAGCTTTTAACAACTTATGTTGTGTCATTTACATAAACCTTGCCTTTTACAAGCAAATGAGAAAGTTGGAAAGCTACCTGTTTTGTTTATACAAATCTAGAGTATCCAGAATTTGCATCTATAAAAGTAAGACACACACAAAAAAGTATGAAATAGTTTATTTGCACAGGAGTTTCCATTTTTAAAAAATTAGGTAGAAATAGATTTGTAAATCTAGGCCTAGTTCTTATCAATAAATATCCTATTCTTTTCATTTGATTTATATTTTGTTTGGTTTTATATTCAGAAGTATAATTTTATTTTACCCCATTACTTTTTGTTGAGAGTGGTGACTGGGTGAAGGTTTATGTATTTATTTTCAGCTAATTCATTTAAGTTGACATTTTGTTGTCTTTTTTCCCATGGTAATTACTTTTTCTTAATTTCTTTATTCTTTCCTTTTGTTCTCTTTCATCATCTTTTTTTTTTCCCTCCATGGCATGATCCAGTTTGGTAGTCAATGGGTAAGTCTCATTTTTTTTTTCTAAAAGCATATTTTCATTTGAGTTATTATTTTTGCAAATGTGTATTTTTTATTTTTATCTTTTCAAATTAAAACTATGTAAATAATTTTATTTTCGGATTTTTGGCTTCTATGTTTGCATATATAAGGCTAACTGCTTACAATAAAATAGCAATAGCCCAAAGATTCATTAAAACACTAAATACTTATACCTTAAATAATGACAGGGGGACTGTTTCTCCCCTGTTAAACTGCCGAATTTATAAACTATCCTTAGAGTTTTAAAGATAAAATCATCGAAAACCAAATTAATTCACCTTCTTTTAAATTGAAATCTAGATAACTGTAGAAGCAGAGTGATTATTAACATTTTTAAGCATTTATCTACACTATACTTTTAATACCAAAAAATTTCAAGTTTAGAGCTTTAGATGACATATAACTTCTAAAAACGAAGAAAGAGGCCACACCCAAAGTCAATTCATACAGATGAACCCAATGGTGGATTTCAGTGAGGTATAAGCCCACCAGTGATACAGTCTTTCCTCCCACTCATGATGGCTTAGGATGTGACCATCATCAGACGTAAGGAAGAGGGATGCCTGTGTCATGAGACGTCTGCCCTCTTCCACAACAGGTCCTCCTAAAATAATACCCCCCAGAATCCCTGATGTACAAGATTAGAAAACCTCTATGCATGAAGGATTGACTAGTGTATATATTTGTTCTTTTCTTTTCTTTTTTGTGATCAGAATGTCTTTGTGTCCTGTAGGTAGGTTACATCTTACAAGTCTTACACTTGACAATTGGGAATCAAACTCAGAGTGACTCTTCCTGGGCTGACAGTTCTCATCTAAGCAGAAGGGCTTAGTTAACTATGAAAGTAGATGGGAGCTACTTTCATAATTAGCCTTATATATGCAGTGGCTCACGCCTATAATCCTAGCACTTTGGGAGATGGGTGGATTGCCTGAGCTCAGGAGTTCAAGACCAGCCTGGGCAACATGGTGAAATCCCATCTCTACTAAAAAAAAAAAAATCATCCTGGTGTGGTCAGGGACACCTGTAATCTCAGCTACGTGGGAGGGTGAGGCATGAGAATTGCTTGAACTCAGGAGGCAGAGGTTGGAGCAAGCCAAAACTGTGCCACTGCACTCCAGCCTGGGCCACAAAGTGAATCTGTCTCAAACAAAAGAAAATAGATAGGAAGGTCTACTACTTGTTAATGCTATACCTTTTGACCCAGATATTTACATTAGCTATTTGACTATAATTTATATTTATTCATGGATACACAATTTTATTCTTTGAGCAATTCACAGAAAAAAAGTATTTATAATACCATAGCATACAACCTTACAAATATATCAAGTAACTGATATGTGTTATAGACTGTTCAGTAATTCTCTGATCACTTATAACTTCATTTATTATATCTAATTATCTGAATGAGTAGGCAGCTGGCTTGGATAACAATGGCTCCTATTTACCTCCTCATGTTTTCTAGTACCCAGATGTAAGCCTTTGATTTTCTGCCTGAGAATATTATCTTAACTTTCTTCATAAACCCATTCTTTCCTCATCTGGTTTGTAGAATCATCTTCCATTAATACTGGGTTTATCCATTTATTTTAACATACACTGCAGGCACTCAGTAAATGTTTGCAGAGTGAATGAACAGATTTGTCACTGCATTAAAAATCCTCCCCTGTAAGAAGCAACTTGCTGTAGTACTTAAAAGGAAAAGCAGGCACACACACACACACACACACACACACAAATGACAAGCATTGTTACATTGTCAAATGATTCTTTACATTAATAGGTGGGTGGTTTTGAAGAGTGATCTGCTACTGTTCGTTATATATGCACCTGTACATTCACACCAGAGACAATTAGTTCCCCACAACTTTCACACAATTAACATAGTTCAAAATGTGCAGGTGTAAAACCCATTAGCAACCCTGAAAAAAGTGGTGAACAAGAATTGCATTGCAAAAGAAGAATTTTATACATTGCTTTTTCTCTTCAGTAAGCATACCCACATAATTGCGTAGTCTTTCCCTCTCTATATGTGCCGAGATAAGTTTTGGAATTGTTGAAAATTAGTATGTATATTACAAATACAGGTGAGCCAGTGGACTCCATTTAACGGCAACAAAGTTGTTGAAAAAGCTAGATTACTGGACAATCTGGATCCATGTAAAATATATATACTATATAGTTAAACATAGCAGCAATGTTTTTTCTAAATTATAAAGAAATTACCTCTCCAAAATGTCTAGTGAATTTGTTATTATTATCATCGCTGGGATAAAACTTGCACAATTCCTTCCCCACAATGCAGTCCCTTCTGTGCTTCTAAATCATGATTCTGTTTTCTTACATGCTACATGATGATGCAAACATGCTCCACTGAGGCCCAGAATTGGGTTTAATAGAGTGATTAGTGAGTGAATGATCTGCTCATGTGACAGCTGTGTGAAATGAGTCAGCAATCTCAGGCCAGTCTCTCAGGGACAGATGTTGAGATCACAAAACCACCACAGTATTTTGAATCTTCATTATCCATTACTGAACAAAAGCAGATGACTAGATGGGCTGTAGACATTCATCAGCCATCAGAACCACTTCATTCCATGGTCCCATTAGTTGAGGATGAAGGTGAAAACACATTAATACGGCAAATTCAGGGGAGCAAGGGGCCTTACTTGTGCCAAATTTGTTCTCAGTTAAATTAAAATGTTTCCATTTCTGGAACTAACAACATAGTAGCTTTAAATTATTATATACCCCAAGACAAAGTCCAAAATCTTTTAAGAAAACTGGAATTTAATATCATCTGATTAGTCTTCATTTCATGAGTGTGTTTGTGTGACAACAGTCAGGTGAAATGGTGCTGTTCACCTGATTGTAAAGAGGCCAGGATTTCAGACTGTGCCTAACCTCTGATTTCCTGGGGTTTCATGAAGTAAGGATTCCTGAATGGTTATCTTAATGTAAGTACAGAATCATCTGCTGGGAAACCAGGCACAGTTTGCCTTTGAGGGCAAGTGTGGGGAGACTTAGCTTAAGAATGAACTGGAATCTACCAAAGCCCTAGTATCTAAGATTATCACTCTAACTTGAAGTATTCTAAGAATTTTATTTTTCTCTTTTTAAATTTTAACTTTTGTTTTAGATATGAGGGTACATGTGTAGTTTTGTTATACAGGGTTATTGCACCCAGATCATGAGCATAGTACCCAATAGGTAGTTTTTCAATCCATACCTCCCTTCCTCCCTCACCCCTCTAGTAGTCCAGTGTTTATTGTTCCCATGTTTATGTCCATGTATGCTCAGTGTTTAGCTCCTGCTTATAAGCAAGGACATGCAATGTCTAATTTTCTGTTCCTGTGTTAATTTGTTTAGGATTATGGCTCCAGCTGCATCCATGTGGCTGCAAGGGACATGATTTCCTACGTTTTTATGGCTGTGTAGTGTTCCGTGGTATATATGTATGACATTTCTTTATCTGGTCTACCATTAATGGACACCTAGGTTGATTTTATGTCTTTGCTACTATGAAAGCATGATGATGAATATACAAATGCAAGTTGTTTTTGTTTTGTTTTGTTTTGTTTTTGGTATAGTGATCTGTTTTCCTTTGGATGTGTACCCAGTAAATGGGATTGCTGGGTCAAATGGTAGCTCTGTTTTAAGTTCTTTGAGAAATCTCCAAACTGCTTTCCACAATGGCTGAACTAATTTACATTCCCACCAACAGTGCATTAGCATTACCTTTTCTCAATATGTTTTCTTTTTTTGAAACAATGTCTCCTTCTGTCACCCATGCTGAAGTGCAGTGGCATATTCATGGCTCTCTGCAACCTGGAACTCAGGCTCGGGTGATCCTCTCACCTTGACTTTCTAAAGTGCTGGGATTACAGGCATGACCCACCATGCCCAACCTCTAATAAGAATTTTATAGGTTTTTATTGTTGGAAACAAAAATGTTCCAAATTCTTATGAAAAATGCTGTCTGTTATAGTAAATGGGAAGAAACGATCAGTTTTAACTTATGTAATATAAATGTCTTTGCAGATACATTGTTTTTACCTGTGATCTCTTTTTGCTTGTGTTTGTCATTGAAAGTTACCTGAAAATTTCTAAGAAGCTGCTTTTGTGAACTAGTTTAAGCACACCAGTGAACTTAGAATGTTTTAACCAGCCACTGAATACTCCTATCCCCACCCCAGATGAACACACAATAACCATTGTTATTCTGGCAGTTTTTGACTTGCTTTATTTTAAATGTGTGCACACACAAATATTACTTTCACAGATAATCATTAATTACATTTATTGGCATATTTCAATTTCTGGTTTTGTCCCTGTTCCTTAATTCTACAACTTGCTTGTATGTTAATTTGTCATTTTCCTGAAATGCATAATTTAATTTTTTAGGAAAATTTTAAAAAACACACAGAAAAATAAAAATTTTTCTGGGTCCCCTGATGAATGACTTTTTCTAGCTAACTTTGTATTATCTATGTGCAGCATATGTGGGTTATCATCGGCAGAATATATATATATAATGAGAATTCTCAGGCCATCTTTTCTCTCACACTCATGCACCTATCCCACCTCCACCAACTGTGCAGCCAGAGCAGATTCTGAAAAGTTCTCAGCAGTTGTAATATTCGTGTAAGTCAGATCTAATCAGATACATTTACAGTAGCAAAATCCCATATTGTAAAAATCTGAAAACCTCACACTATTTGGATTTACCCCTTGGATATTAAATTTAAGATGTATACTTTTTTCTTTATTTCTTTTAACATTGTATGTGTTTGTGTTTTTGTTCATTCATTCTCATTTTCTCTTCCTCTCTCCCCATCTCTTCTTTTTCTCTTTCTCTCTGCTTATAGCTAGATCAGGCATCAAACAAGCAACAATCTACAGGTGTATATTATAGGAGAATTTAATGGCTCCTAGTATCCATTGACTTTCACTGCTTTTCAAGAAAAATGGGTATAAATGACCTGTTTAGTGGCTCATCACTTGATTTTAAGATACGCCAAAATCAATTCAACCCAAAAGTTTAACATGTAGAAGCTCTGTATTTTATATATGATAGCTTTCTGATGACATTTGATCACTTTGAGTTCAAAAAATGAAAGTTATGAAAATAGAGAAAAACATTTGGGATAAGGCATATTTAAGAACCTGCTTGGAAGTCTGGATGCCTCAATGCCTGTATGCTTTGGAGCACTTTCCATGTAAGAGGGAAGTGAGATGCTTGAAGCCCAATTCCTGTATCTCTTTCCTCTTCTACCCCAAAGAGGAGTCTCACGTGGCATTTAGTTTCCTCTTGCTGCTCACACTGACCTGGAGCAAGACGGATGTGAAAGGAGAGTGGCAGAGTGGGAGAGCCAGGCAGAGCTCATTTGCATAAGCTTCTGCATCACTCAGTCAGCTGCACAGCTTTCAGCCAGGAGCTGGGGGGCCTTTTTTTGTAAGTGTGTCTATAGAGGGATTACCCTGCCCATCAGCCCGTGCACTGAAATTGTTCAGCTGATCTCAGATATGTTCATGTGAGGGCCTGTCTGGCTCAGAAAACTATTAATAATTTAGACTGGATCAGAACTTTAACAGCCAGCCAGCTTTTTCAGGCTTTTCTTCTACCTGTTTTTCTGTCTTCTCTCCCCTTTTCCTTCTCTTCAAGCTATCTCAAAAGCAAAAATATCAGCAATAGTGGTATAGAAATCCACTCTGTATGTTTCAATTCCATTTGCCCTCTAGGGAGCACAAATTTGGGAATTGATAAAGGCTTTAAGTGAGACAGATATGCTTTAGGGGTGTAATATGTGCCCAGAAAATTCCCCATTCACATAGATGTGGTTAATTTTAGATCACTTATCATTACACACTTAGACTCACACCCACACACACTCACACTCACACAGAAAAAGAAAATAATTCAGAGACTCCAAAATTCTTCCTCCTTTGTTATTTATGCAGGTTGATGATAACGACTTGTAACTGTCAGAACCCTTGGGGAGAAGGGTAGAGTGTCATTCCTGAGTAATCCAAAGCAGACCTAAGTTGATGTTTTGTTCTGTGTGGAAACTTTGAGACATGTTTTCAGCACAAGAAAAAAAAAAATAGCTTTCAAAAACTTACATCTTAAGAAACCATTCATCCAGCAGTGAAGTTGGTCTAATGTTTATATTGACCTGAGTACTTTTACTCGATGCATTTTGTTAGCTGTTCCAAGAAGCCTTGAACCATCAAGATAGGGTTAGTCTTTACAAGTCACATTTTCTGTGAAGTGGCTATTGGGGACAATCAGCTGTCAGATAAATGCTTCTAAAGGAAGAATTACTGTTTAAATGGATGTGCCTTCACAAGCCTTGGAAGCCCCAGCTCCTGTTAATTTGAGAATGGAGCCCTCTAGTATTCTCTAAAGAAAGAAAAAAAAAAGTCTTTCAGGTTGATTTTCAATACATCTTTTTTTGGTATTTATTTAAAGGCATCTTTTTCATGAGGAAGCGGTAATAAAACTATAGGGAGTGAGTGATGTTTCATTATACCTTTTATGGCCTATTAATTTGTTACCATCTATTCACCTTTGTTGATGAAATTTTAATTTTGCCCTTGCTAGAGCATATTGTAAGAATTGTATAAACTGCTGCTCCCTGTGCTGACAAAAAGGTCCTTTTAGAGTGAACAATTGGGAGCTCATTTTATTTCTAGAGCACATTTAAAATAACTTATGAATGAGAGTTGTCAGACATGAAATGCAGTATTAATTAAATCTTTTTCTAGTCTTTTTGCTTCTCCAGCTAAACCAACCCTTTAGAAAAATACACAGCCACCTTAATTATAGGGGAGAAGACAAAAAATATCCTTCACATTCCTGTGCCTGAATAAGAATAAGAACTCAATTCATCTAAATAATAACCCCATTAGCTGCTTAACTCAACAGTGCACATGGGAAAATTTTCAATCCACAATGTAAAAAGTGTTTATTGGGTGGATCATTTTCAAGGTTTTGTTCTTTTAATGTTCAAAATGGTCATTTTAAATAAATCTGATAGGTCATAACTAGTAGATTTAGAGCGTTTATGACTTATGACAAAAGTTTTGTGTCATGTCAACTAATGAATTTTTCTTTTAATATCTAGCAACAATACCATTCAAAAATAGATGATCTGATCGACAACAGCGTAAAAGAAATCATTTCACTGTTAGTTTCAAAGGTAATGTATTGTTTATTCACCTTTTTAAATCAAATTGAAAAATAATTTTCAATGGATACTTTTTAAAAATATCACGTGTTTAAATATCTAATTGAAAAAAATATAGTTTAAAAGATTAATGCAGGAAAAATTAGAATTTTTAGGAAAGTTAGCAAAAAAGATTATGAACACTATGTCAACAACATTTGATTTTTTTTTTTTGATATAATAAATTTTGGCTTTTCTTACCTTTGTTGTCATTTTAAAACTAACTCTTCTTCCAGTAAAACCTTATTATGTTACATTCATGTTCTTGTACTATTTAACTCCAGAGCAGATTTGAGTGGTCACAAGTCCTTGAATTTAGCCCATCTGTGGTGGTGATGGCACTAAAGCTTTATATCTGGTCTTGGAGACAGACGGAGAAAGCTGGCAGGGTGACATCTGAGGTCCTCCATGCCCAGGAATTTCCCAGGATTTCCAATTTGATGCTCAAAATACCTTTGACAAAAGCCATGATCTTTCACTGTATAAGAAGAGATGAGGCAATTGATGCATCATTTAGTGATTAGATGATTTAGATTCCAACTAAGGCATAACAGATAGTCATGGGTGGCATTTCAGATCAGGGGCTGATAAGGAAAGGAAGAGAGAACATGAGAGCACCAGGTTAAGAGGATGAATAGAGAGAATGGGCATCTCCTAGAGGCAATTTCCTATGAGCAGATAGATCCCATGTTCTCACAAGGCTTCATCAAAGAACCCCAAATCAGGATTTGTAAAGCACCTGGAAGGATGACAAGAAGCAAAGGAAAAACCGCCCTCAATTTAATAAACAGACAAAAGACATCCTGTTTAGAAAAGAAAAAAAAAAAGAAAAGAAAACAGAGATGTCCCATGAACATGAAAAGTGTTAATCCTCATTAATAATTTAAGGATACAAAGTAAGCTACAATAATATAGTATTTTTTCAAGCAAATTAGCATAAATGCTTCTAAGGTAACACTCAGTTCTGGGTGAGGTGAGACACCTTTTATATATTGGGGAGTATAAATTGTTACAGTCTTTCTGGAAAACAGTTTGGAAATACATCAAGTACATTAATACCTTTTCACCTTTTTCTATTTTGTCATACTGATTAAATGTACAAAATATGTATTTGTTGATATTTGTCACATTATGCCTAACCAAAATTTGAAAACAACTTTAAATTCTAATGAGGGAAAAGGTAAAGTAAACTGTGGAACATCTGTATTAAGAAATTATACTTTCAAAGACTATTAATGATAAAGGAAGAGTTTCATAATACAGTATTAAATGAAAACAGCTGAATATTTAAAAGTGTAAAGTATAAACTGAATTTGAATCTTGTAGGAAAAAGACTGCTAGGATAAACACTAGACTGGTAGCATAGCTTTTCTTTGGGTAATGGGAGTATAGTTCGTTTTTTATTTCATCTTCAATTTTTTTTTTGTATTTTTCAAATTATCTGGTCGCATGTCTTAGAGTAGAAAACAATCACAAAGACAGTGTTAGAATAAAATCATCTCACCAGCTTATTCCTGTTCTCCAGATTTTTACCACTGTACCAAATGCCTACGTATACACATATCTTGCACACTCGCCAACAAGTGGATAGGAAAAGAATAATAGGAAAACCATGGAGGGAAGGGGTAAACCACTGGAGAATCGAGGTCTTTGAGGAAGAGCGGTGAGATTTCCACCCTCTGAGGAGCCCAGCACAGCAGCTTGCATCACCACATAGTCAACCCACTACAGTGAAATAAAGTTAACTTTGCACCATCTTCTCTGTGAGGCCTTCAGGGAAATGTTATCCAGATATAACCACCCTATGAACATAGTCCTCATGTGGAAATTGCCTTTTGTGAGAAGTTTTCATAATTGGCATCACAATCACATACTAGCATACAGATGATATAGGGTTAATCAGACAGCAAGAGAAAAGTCCAAGTTTTTCTTTGGGGTGGGAAGGAGGAGAGAAGGCAGACGGGACTGTACGTCATCTCTGCATCTATTTCTGGCAAAGTAAGACACTTAAATTTTTCTATATCAAATACATCTGGTTAGTTTTAAAAATAGTCTATTTAAGCTAAGGAAGGAAAAGATGTCCTGAAATATCCTCACAGTATACCAGTAGCTACTAGCCACATGTGGTTGTGGAGAATTGGAATGTTGTTAGTGAAGCTGAGAAATTAAATTTTTAATTTAATTTAGTTTTGATTAAAAGAGCCTCGTGTAATACTGGCTATTACATTTAGAAATCAGGACTAGATTATAGTTTTCCTCTGTGCCTCATTTCTCCTTCTGTCAAAGCATGCTTATTATCTTTAATTCTTTGGCAGAAAAGTGTAAAATAAGTTAACTTGATAGGTTGAACCAAACATCTCAAAGATGATAGTAATTGATGTTTTTTAAAAAGATGTTTCAAATTAATCTTCATAGTTATGATATTTAAAAAACCATTTTGTTGCGATATGATTAACATACAAAAAATGTGTGCATGTTTAATATATACAAGATGAGTTTGGAGATAAGTATACAGCCATAAAAGTGTACAACCATAAAACCATCACCTCAATTAGTACCATAAACTTATCCATCACCTCCCAAAGTTTCCTCCAGCCCTCTTAAATAATTATTTCTGTGTGTGATAACAGTCACATAAGATCAATCCTCTTAGCAAATAGTATTGTTTTCTATAGGCATTATGCCGTGCAGTAGCTCTATAGAACTTTTTCATCATGCATAACTGAGACTGCTCTTTGGCAGATTTCTCCCCATATCTCCCTTCCTCTCAGCCCCTGAGAAACCAACATTCTATCCTCTGTTTCTGTTATTTTGTTTATTTTAAATTCCTCATATAATTGGTACTATGTAATATTCAGTCTTCTGTGTCTGCTTATTTCACAGAGCATAATATACTCCAGGTTTATCTGTTTATCTCAAATGGCAGGATTTCCTTCTTTTTTGAGGCTGAATATTATTTCATTGTAGCATGTAACTCATTTTCATTATCCATTCACCTCTCCGGTGGATATTAAAGTTGCTTCCAAGTCTTGCCTATTGAGAAGAATGCTGCAAAGAAATGAGAGTGCAGATATTTCTTCAATATACGAATTTCAGTTTCTTTGGATATATGCCCATATATGGCAGTTCTATTTTTCACGTTTTGAGGATCCTACATGCTATTTCCCATAGTGGCTGCACCAATTTATATATCTACCAACAGTGGGCATTTTCTCCACATTCTCAGCAATACTTGTTATCTTTTGGGTTGTTGATAATAATCCAAACAGATGCCAGCTAATATCTCAATGTGGTTTTGATTTGCATTTCTCCAAAGATTAGTGACATTAAGCTCCTTTTCATATACCTGTTGGCTATTTATACGTGTTTATTAGAGACATAGTGCTTTGCTCATTGTTCATAGAGACATAGTGCTTTGCTCATGTTTTTTAACTTTAATTTTTTTTTTTTTTTTGCTTTGAGTTTTAGGAGTTTCTTATATATTTTAGATATTAACTCCTTATCAGACAAATAGTTTGTAAACATTTCCTCCCATTTTGTAGGTTGCCTTTTCATTATGTTGATTGTTTCCTTTGCTGTGCAGAAGCTGTTTTACTTGATATAATCTCATTTTTAAAAAAAGATTTCTTGCCTGTGCTTTTTGTATTGTAGCCAAGAATCATTACTAGGGCCAGTGTTTTCTTCTAGAAGTTTCATGGTTTGGGGTCTTAAGTTATTTAATCCGTTTTTACTTGATGGTATTTAGTTGATGATTTTGTCGATCCCTTTGTTTATGGTGTAAGATAAGGGTCAAATTTTATTCTTTTGTATGTGTACATCCACTTTTCCCAGCACTATTTATTGAACAAACCATTCTTTTCTGTTCACACCCTTGTCAAAGATCAGTTAACCGTATGTTTGTGGGTTTATTTCTGAGCTCTCTGTCTTGTACTGTTGGCCTATACATCTGTTTTTATGCCAGTAACATTGTGTTTTGATTATTTTAGCCTTGTAATGGATTTTGAAATTAGGAAGTGTGATGCCTCCAGTTTATTCTTTTGCTTAGAATTGTTTTAGTTATTTCAAGTTTTTTTTTTTGGTTCCAGATTAATTTTAAGATTGCTTTTTCTATTACTGTAAAAAAAATGCCACTGGGATTTTGATAGAGATTACATTAAATATATAGATCACTTTGAGTAGTATGAACATTTTAACTATAACAATTATTGTAATTCATCAACATGGGATTTTTTTATTTATTTGTTTTCTGCTGTAATTTCTTCAGTGTTTTATACTTTTCAGTGTACAAGGTTTTCACTTTCTTGGTTAAATATATTTCTAAGTACTTCATTCTTTTTGATGCTATTGTAGATGGGTTTGTTTTCTTAATTTCCTTTCCATATAGTTACTTGTTAGTGTACAGAAATATGAGTGATTTTTGTATGTAGATATTTTTTCTGCAACTTTACTGAATTTGTTTATTCTAACAGTTCTTTTTTATAGACTCTTTAGGGTTTTCTATATATTAAGATCATGTCATCTGCAAATGGAGATAATTTTACTTGTTATTTCCTGATTTGCATGGTTTATGTTTCTTTTCTTTTTCTTTTTTATTTTAGTTTTTGTCTGCTTACTCTGGCTAGGACTTCCAGTACTATCTTGAATAGAAGTGGCAAAAGTGGGCATCCTTGCCTTATGCTGTATCTTAGAGGAAAAAAATTGGTTTTTCACCATTGAGTATGATATCAACTGTGAACTTTTCATGTGTAGCCTTTATTATGTTGAGGTAGTTTTATTCTATTCCTAATATTTTGAATGTTTTTTTATCATGAAACATTACTGAGATTTGTCAAATATTTTTCTGCATTTATTGAGATGATCTTGTGATTTTTATCCTTCATTCTATTAATGTGGTGTATCATAGCAATTGACTTGCTCATATTCAAAAATCCTTGGATCCTAGGGATAAATATCACTTGGTGATGGTATATGAT